CCTAATGAGTATAACTAATAAGGTGCTCCACTTTATGGTAAAACTGAAGTTAGCCTGTATCAATTTTCTCAAAAATGAAGCTGAAGTACAATCACAATACCAATACCCGGCAAAATTCTAACTTGTCACATTTCAAATAATAACCAGAAATATAAAACTACTCTTGAGTTGGGTAAATACCACAATTTTGCGGTGATAACTATGACATATAACCAAACTGATAACTACACTCGCTTGAACGGATCGGTAAATACCAACCCAAAATGGTAAATACTATTTCTATTTGGTTATCCGCTTGAATTTTATTTTATTCCACTCGTTTGCTGGCAGAGCCAAATGGCATTTTTGAAAGCGTCAACTGCTTCTTCTGGTGACTGGAACCTTTGACCACGCAGTTTGTTTTTAATTTTCTGGGTAAAGAAATCGTTAGGACGTAGATCGGGACTATATGGAGGATGGTCCAATAATTCCACGTTTTCTTCCGTTAAATACTACCTTGTTTTTTGGGCTGTATGCGAGCTTGCATTGTCTTGGTGGAGGATGATTCTTCTTTCGGGGTTGATTTTTCGAAGCTCGGTGATGACTTTTGGCAAACAAATGGTGGTATACCAATCTGCAGTAATAGTTCTTTGCTCATTAAGAGGAATTCTTGCAATACGCTTTTGACCGCTTTTGACACAAATCTTTTTCGAAACACTTCGAGAACAGGATGACTTTTGTTAGCTTTCCTTCACCTTGGAACACCCAAACAGCCGACTGTCGTTTATTTTCTGGTTCAACTCAGTAAATCAACGATTCATCACCACTAACAATGCTGAACACATTTTTTGAGTTTCCGGAATTGAAACGGTCAAGCGTTTTTTGACACCAATTAACCCTGGCTGCTTTCTGCTCTTCAGTCAACAGGTGGGGTATCCAACGAAAAACAATTTTTGTTACTCCTAATTCTGCACGTAAAATTTTTTGAATTGAGGTCTTTGAGATTTTCTCTCGCGATATGATGAGTTTGCGCACAGCATTGACGTTACCCTGGGTGACTACCGTTTTTGGTGCA